TTAAACTCCTCCTTTTAGGATAATTATTTTGGATATGTAACTATTTCAAAACACAGTATAGAGATAATGAAGACAGTGTTTTATTGGGTCAGTCTTCCTGCAATAGAAATATTGATCCACCAACTTACTATGGCGTGATTGTCAGAAAGTTGTTTAAACTATTAGCTGTAGACACCTCACCTCTAGAGTGGGAATAGTAAATATTCCCTATATTTACTGAAGGGTAAAATTAAACGAGATGATGCATGTCATTATCTACCATGATACCTGGGACATACAAATGGACAATTCATAATTGTGAGATTCCATTATTAATGTGACAATGAATCTGTCTTGCATGCCCATCATTTATCAATAAACGGAGCAACCATCAGGATGTAATTCTGATTGTTATAAATACATCAGATCTCTTACCTCTTTTGACCGCCATACAGGACTTCTAATTAGTGAAGATCCTTATGTCTCCTTCTTTCAGAACATGCCTGCCAGGTGAATTTTCCCAAGAAGAGGAACTACAAGAAGTAGACTACATACATAAAAGGAGGAAGGGAGAGCACACAAAAACATAAAAATAAAATGCAAGGTGTATGTCAAGTGGGGTGCTCATGTGGCTATGTTCTCAGTTGGAGATGTATTAAAATCAGCAAAGTTAATCACATATCATTGATAGATTGAATTGAAAATATTTAAAACTTACATAAATCTAATCATACTAGAAAAATTAAAAACCAAATTTGACATTCAAATATACATATTTACATTCTCCACAATAGAAAAAGAATTCGTGTCACTAATGCATAGAGGAGTTTCTTAAATTAAAGACAATTGTGGAGGACCAGTTTAGTGTGGGAAGTTGGGTAGGCGGGACTTCTCTGAAGTAGAAATATTTGAGCTGAGAGAAGAAGGATGGGTCATTGTTAATCAGGAGAAGTAAGAAAGGAATAAACTTTCTAGGCGGAGGGAACAGAATGCCAGATGGCACATGGCTCGGTGAGTTTCTAAACAGGAATCTGAGGGACCAGTGAGACGGAGAGCAAGGAAGGAGAGTCAGGAGGACGGAGTTTGTGAGCCCCACAACAGAGCATCCTCTGCTCGTTCTTGATGTGCATCTCATGTCAGTAATTTTATGTTTATTTGTGGGTCTGAGGCTGTGACTGTTTTTTTCTCATTATTTTTCTTTCCAGGGATGTAGATCTACTTGGTGCCTGTCATATTCTAGAGGCTCAACAAACACACATGTTGGATGTATAATAATGAGTGAGACCAAACGCATCAACAGTGACACAAAACAGAAATCTTGAAGCTCGTCCCATGCCTGAATGTAGACTCAAAATTGAATGGTAAGAATAAATAAAATGCATTCATGTCTATTTTAAAGAAATAATACACGACGAGCAAGTAATACCTATTCTAGGAACGGGAAACTGGGTTCATGTTAGGATGTTTGCTAACATAGTACATCACACACATAGGTTCATGAAGAGATTCACAATCACAATGCAAAGAATATATCTGAGAATACGGAATAGCCATTTCTGTGGTTAGCAGCCGGGGCAGAGAATCTGCAGATACATACACAGAAAAATGAGGACAGCTTCGTAACCCAGTAGACAATGATTGTTTCAAAATCACGGACAACAGGATATTCTACGTCAACATACTAGAACATCTGTGTTCAATTTACGATTAGGTGAAGGCAGACTATTCCAACCTCAATGATTCGATATTCTCATGGACATGTAGAAATTGGTAAAATGGAAAAAAGAAATTGGCCTGCGTACCAATGGTCAGAACTAAGTGTGTTATATGCATTGTGTTGTAGACATGGAAATGAAAAAGTAATGATGACAACAAGAACATAGAACTATTCAGCTATTTCAGTAAGTCACACCTGCTGGCAATAATCGTTATGTGGATTAGAAAATCTGATCTACTTAAGAACAAAATATTCAATACCTGGTGCATAATTGGTCTTCCACGAGTAGTTAATGAACAAGCGATTGGAGACAGGAAATCTAACAGGAACCTAAAATATTTGGGAGAGAGTGGAGAAGCTTTGAAGACTGCCCAGAAAATGAAGTATGCAACAAATGGCCATTTCTAGCTCTTATTGGAAAGAGATTCTAGATTCCAGAAAGAAAGGAAAGCAAACAGTGAGAGCTGGAAAAGACTAGTCTCGGTGGAAACTAAATTACCTTCAAAGTACAAGAACTTCCACCTGCATAGATTAAATAAATATAAGACTGTCCCCAGCTCATTATTCTAGAGGTAAAGCCCATCAGACACTTTCCTCTTTTCCTCCTTATCCCATTGGCCTTCTTGTTGCCCTTTTGCTTTTTTTTGTTGGTTTTCCTTGAGGTTTTTTTTTTTTGGAGTTCGTTCCTTGGGATTCCCATTTGTTTTTTCGTTGTTTTGGGTTCGGGGATTTTTGGTTTTGGGGCGGCCCGGGCGGTTTTACCTTTTTTATTTTTTCCGGGTTTGATTTCCCGGGGCCCTTCTTTCCTTGATTTTTTCCTTTTTTTTTCCCCCTTCTAAATTTTTCGGGGCCTTTGGGTTTGGAGGAGGAAACCGGAGGGGAAGTTTTTCGTTGGTTTTTTTGTGGATGGAGACAGCATAGAGGAAGTTGGATTTATTTCCCCCAAGGGGGAAACTGTTCTTCTTGGTTTAACTTAAAAGTCCCAAGGTTTCCCCTTACGGAAAGTTTAATTTCCATAAGCAACCAAACTCAGGCATCATCTCTCTGTGATGTGCCACCATTGAGGAATGTTTGGAGATTTTGTGGAGTTCTTGGTGTCCACAATGTTGTACAGGCAAAGAGGTCCTTTCTTTTCAAATTTTTCTTAATATTTAAACTACTTTATGAATATATGATTGAAATGTAAAAATCTGTACATATTTAATGTATACAACTTGATGAGTTTGGGGATATGTATATATCCATGAATCCATCGCCACCATGAGGCCAAAGACATGTCAATCATCTCCCAAAATCTCCTGTATTATTTTAATGTGTGATAATCACATTTAACATAGGATCTGCATTTTAGCAAATTTTCAGTATATAATACATGAATATTAGCAATAAGCACTAAGCTGGGTAGTTAGCAGATCTCCAGGACTTATTTCTGATGCATCCCTAAAACCCTGTAAGGTTCGACAATTATCTTCCCATTTCCTCCTCCCCAGTCCCAGGGAACCACCATTCTCCTCCAAAGAAGTCCTTCTTCAGGAAAGCAAATTTGGGAGCAATGTTTCTTCTGTGAAAATGACTAACAAAATCGGGACAGGAAAATCTCCTTTGACATTTGCTGGAGACATGGGAGGCTTTGTTGATATTAGGGCTTCATTTATTTATTTATTTATTTTGAGACAGAATCTTGTTCTGTCTCCCTGGGTAGAGAGAATGCCATGGTATCGTGGTATCATAGCTCACTGCAACCTCAAACTCCTGGGCTCAAGTGATCCTCCTGCCTCAGCCTCCTGAGTAGCTGGGACTACATGTGCACCACAATGCCCACCTAATTTTTTATTTTTAGTAGAGGCGGGGTCTTGCTCTAGCTCAGGCTGGTCTCGAACTCCTGAGCTCAAGCGATCCTCCCAGAGTGCTAGGGTTACAGGTGTGAGCCACCACAGCTGGCCTAGGGCTCCATTTATTACCTCTAAATAGAAAGACAGGACAATAATAATCCAGGTAGAGTGGGTTGGAGAGTGAGGATTGGGGAAATATAGGTGGCAAATACACACAGGCTACACAGCTTTTCAAAGAAGGGAAGAAGAGAAATAAAGCAAAGCCTAAAGACAGCATGGAGTATTGAACAGTTTTATAAAAATGTCTTAACTGGAAGATATGGGAACACGTTTAATGTCAAAGAGAATAAACACAATAAATGCAGGCATTGGAATACACAGAAAATACCCCCTACAAAATTTGCAGGAGGTAATATATACTGTCAATCAAACAAATATCATGATGTATTATAACCTGATATTCAGAATACATGGGCCCAGAAAACACGGGTTAGGATCACAAATGTCCTTGCCTAACATTCGTCCCAGGGAGCCACCTGGGGAGTTTGCGCTTCTTGTTTCTGCAAGTCTGGCTTCTCTTGATTTAGAAGTCTTGACACCTAAAGGGATGGTACTTCTAGAAACAGGGCAAAAGTCCTGGTCCCACAAACCTCTTCAGTCTTTCAAGGAATATGGTAATAGTGAAGACCCCTTTTAATGCCCAGCTATACTTCCTGCCAGGGTGTTTTAGAGTCCTGAGGTCCAGGGATCAGCAGAAAAGAAGAGTCAATATCTTTCTTTTTTTTCTAATGGCTTGATTGAGATGTAATTGACATACCATAAAATGAACCTGCTTTCAGATCTAGATTCCAGCATTCATGTTGAAAATCCCATCACTGTCCTTGGGAAACACAGGACAGCAAAGTTAGGCGTGTGGACTCCTCGTCATGTTGCTGGGACTTAGCCCATCTTAACTCAGTCTTCCTCCGAACAATGGGGTCCATGAGAGACCATATATCAAAGAAACGTTTTCAAAATAAAATTTACACATGTAAAGCAACAAGCAGAGCCCTGGTAGAGTAAGAGCTTGGCTAGTATTGTAGGATTTTTATTACATTTCTTCCACGAAGAGCAAGAGCACAACCAAATTGAGGTGAAGAACAGTAACATGCAAGAGGATAATTTTTGAGGACACCATGTGAGCGCTTGATATGAAAAGTGCTTTAAATGTCAAGTTAGAAATCTCAAGAATGGCCCTAAGAAACCTGATGAAAATTTGAATTTTAAGGCTCAGGTTTAGTGGAGAAAAATTAAAAAGAAATTACGGAGGAAGTCGTTGAGGGAAAAACAACCACAAAAACATATAAAAGCAGACTCACAGGTGCTTTGGAAATAAACAAAAGAAACATGTTATTTAAAGGAGGAAGAGAGCCAGGATATTTAAATTCACATTTGTCTTGGAGGCCCTCAATGACCACTTAGTGTTGTGTCTTTCAGAGGCAAGAGGCTGCCGGGCTGAGCAGTCTTCCCAGGGCCGCCTTCACGTCCTTGTTCCTCAGGCTGTAGATGAAGGGGTTCAGCATGGGGGTGACCACCGTGTACATCACCGAGGCCATGGTGCTGCTCTGGGAAGAAGGGGTCACAGCAGAACTGAGGTAGACCCCAAGTCCTGTTCCATAGAACAAGGAAACCACACAGAGGTGAGACCCACAGGTGGAAAATGCTTTGTTCTTGCCTGCAGTGGAGGACATCCTCATTAAGGAGGAGACAATTTTCGAGTAGGAGAAGAGGATCCCTGAGACGGGAAACACACCCAGCAACACAGTCGACACGTACAAGCAGATGTTATCGATGAGGGTATCCGAGCAGGCCACCTTGAGAACCTGAGCCAGCTCACAGAAGAAATGTGGGATTTCTGTGGCCCTGGGGAAGGTCAGCCTCATTATCAGTAGGACATGAAACAGGACAACCAAGGACATGACCAACCAGGACATCAGAACCAGCAGGGCACAGAGGCGGGGGTTCATGAGGACCGTGTAGTGCAGGGGGTGGCAGATGGCCACGAACCGGTCATAGGCCATCACGGTCAGGAGGAAATTATCCAGTCCAACAAAAACCGTAAAAAAATACACCTGCGTGAGGCATCCCACGTAGGAGATGTCTTTGCTGTGTGTGTCGATGTTCACCAGCATCTTTGGGATGGTGGTGGAGATAAAACAGATGTCAACCAAAGACAGGTTGGAGAGGAAGAAGTACATGGGGGTGTGGAGGTGGGCGTCGGAGACGATGAGCAGGGTGATGAGCAGGTTCCCGAGCATCGTGACCAGGTACATGGACAGGAACAGCCCGAAGAGAAGGGGCTGCAGTGTGGGATCTTCTGAGAGACCCAAGTGGAGAAATTTTGATACTTCTGTGTGGTTTTTTGTTTCCATGAAGCTGATGTGTCGGCTGGGGAGGGAAGCAAAAGCAACTTTCAATGAACAGCCAGCGGGCACCTCAGTTATCACCTTATGGTGTCACATTGTGGTATCATTCTTGGATGGGCATCGTTCATATGCAATAGAGTCTTTTCAAAGAGAGGGAATCACTCAGGTGAGCGGTAGCCCATTGCCACTCTAAAGAGTAGAGGTGTTCAGACTTCCTTTAACTTAGCATCAGTCTCTCTAGTTTACCATCTACTCACTCGTTTTTATCTCTCCTGCCTGAACCTATGGGCATTAACTAATTTTGTCTTTGGAATGAGTTTTCCAAATAATTGAAGACATGTCATGTCTGTTTGTGATAATTTCCATACTTTCTTCATTCTAAAGCTCTACAACACATTAAGGAACGGATTGTTACCTCTGACAACTTTTATTCTGTGACCCGACTGAGCTCGTGATATGGAAATAAACTCTCAGTGTCTTATTTTCTTTCCAAAATTCTGTTTATCAGTAGTTTCTTGTTTGTGAGGCTTAAAAATGCCTTTGATACAGTAAGTCTCAATAGATAATAGCTGTCTTTATTAATATTATTATTATTGTAAAATTCTTCCTTTTAGGAAAGTTATTTTGGATATATACATCTCCCAAGGTGCAGTATACAGCTGTGCTGTGGAAAATATTTTCTTAAGACTTCCTGAAATAGAATTTTGACCCACCAATTTACTACTGTGTGACCTTGAGAAAGTTATCTAAACTCTTAGCTGCAGATACCTTACCTCTACACTAGGAATAGTAAATATTCCCTACATGAATGGAGGAGCGAAATTCAATGAGATGATGCATGTCATTTTTCTACTGTGTTTCCTGGAGCACACAATGGATATTTCAAAAATGTGAGCTTCCGTTATTAAATATTTTAGTGAATCAGTCTCGCATGCCTTTCATTTATTAATATCCCTCTTAAATGGGGCAATCGTCAGGACGTAATTCTGATCGTTATGAATACAACAGGACTATTACCTCTTTTGACCACCATACAGGACTTCTAATTAGTGAAAATCCTTATGTCTCCTGCTTTCGGAGCATGCCTGGCAGGTGAATTCTCCCAAGAAGAGGAAAAAGAAAGTGGACTACACATACAAATAAAAGAAGGAAATAAAAGACACACAAAAACATTAAAATAAAATCCAAGGTGTGTGTCAAGTGGGGTGCTCATGTGGCTATGCTCTCAGTTGGGGATATATTAAAATTAGCAAAGTTAATCACCAACATATATAATTGATAGATTTGATTAAAAATTTTCAGAACTTGCATAAATCTAATCATCCTAGAAAAATTGAAGCTGCATTTGAGATTTTAAAATAAATGTTTACATTCTCCACAATAGAAAAAGCGTTCATATTACTAATGCATAGAGGAGTTTCTTAAATAAGACAGAAAAAATCGTGGAGGACCAGTTTAGTGTGGGAAGTTGGGTAGGCGGGACTTCTCTGAAATAGAAATATTTGAGCTGAGAGAAGAAGGATGGGTCATTGTTAATCAGGAGAAGTAAGAAAGGAATAAACTTTCTAGGCGGAGGGAACAGAATGCCAGATGGCACATGGCTCGGTGAGTTTCTAAACAGGAATCTGAGGGACCAGTGAGATGGAGATCAAGGAAGGAGAGTCAGGAGGACGGAGTTTGTGAGCCCCACAACAGAGCATCCTCTGCTCGTTCTTGATGTGTATCTCATGTCGTAATTTTATGTTTATTTGTGGGTCTGAGGCTGTGACTGTTTTTTTCTCATTATTTTTCTTTCCAGGGATGTAGATCTACTTGGTGCCTGTCATATTCTAGAGGCTCAACAAACACACATGTTGGATGTATAATAATGAGTGAGACCAAACGCATCAACAGTGACACAAAACAGAAATCTTGAAGCTCGTCCCATGCCTGAATGTAGACTCAAAATTGAATAGTAAGGATAAATAAAATGCATTCATGTCGATTTTAAAGGAATAATACACGACGAGCAAGTAATACGTATTCTAGGAACGGGAAACGGGGTTCGTGTTAGGATGTTTGCTAACATAGTACATCACACACATGGGTTCATGAAGAGATTCACAATCACAGTGCAAAAAATATATTTGAGAATACGGAATAGCCATTTCTGTGGTTAGCAGCCAGGGCGGAGAATCTGCAGATACATACACAGAAAAATGAGGACAGCTTTGTAACCCTGTGGTTGTTTGAAAACCACAGCCGACAGGACGTTATACATTAACATATCAAACCATTTGTGTTAAATTTATGATTAGGTGAAGGCAGACTACTCCAACATGAATTATTTGATATTCTCCTGAAAATGTAAACAGATTAGTAAAATGGAAAAAAGAAATTAGCCTCAATGCCCACTGTCAGAAGTAAGTATATTATACTTACTTGATCATGTTGTAGACATTGAAATGAAAAAATCATGATGATGACAGCAATATAGAACTATTCAGTGATTTCAGTAAGTCAAACCTGCCAGCAATAATAGTTTAGTCAATTAGAAAATCTGATCAAATTAAGAACAAAATACTCAATACCTCATACATATAGGTCTTCCATGAGTAGTTGATGAAGAAATAATTGGATACAGGAATCGTAACAGAAACCTGCAGTATTTGAGAGAGAGTGGAGAGGCTATGAAGACTGCCCAGAAAATGAAGTATGCAAGAAATGTCGGTTTCTAACTCTTATTGGAAGGAGATTCTAGATTCCAGAAAGGAAGAAAATCAAACAGAGTGAGAGCTGGAAAAAACTAGTGTCAGTGGAAACTGAATTACCTTCAAAGTATAAAGACTTCACCTGCTCTTTCTTGATGTGCATCTTATAAATAAATATGGGATTGTCCCGTTCTCATTATTCTAGAGAAAAGCCCAGGACACTCGTTCCTCTTTTCCTTCTTACCCCACTAGCTCTCAGTGTGTTACTCTGACTCACTCTGATGGATATCACTGAAGCTTTCTCTTCTCCAAGATCTGTTGCTGGGAAGCCTAACTGTGTTTTCATGTAGGCTGGGATCAGAGAATTACAGGTGAGAGGTAGTAACATTTTTAACATTTCTATCGTCTCAACGTTGAATTCCCAGATCACCTCATTAAATAAATTATTCTATTGCCTTTCCACTCTTCAAACAATTCAGCTCCCCCATGGCATACAAAGAAGACAGCAGAATGGAAAGTTTCCCGTCAATTTTGTGTCTCCAGAGACAATAGTGGGGGAAGTTGGATTTATTTTCTCTAAGGAGAAACTCTTCTTCCTTTCATTTCATTTAAAAGTCACAAGATTTCCCCTAAGGAAGGTTTTATTTCTATAAGCAACCAAACTCAGGCATTATCTCTCTGTGATGTGCCACCGTTGAGGAAAGTTTGGAGATTTTATGAAGTTTGTGGTGTCCACAATGTTGTAGAGGGAAAGAGGCCCTCTGTTCAAAATTTTTTCTTTTGTTTGTATCCTCTGTGATTACTTTCCTCAGTGTTCCATAGTTTTCCGTGTAGAGATCTTTAACCTCTTTGGTTAAGTATATTCCTAGGTATTTTATTTTCTTTGTAGCGATTGTGAATGATATTGAGTCTTTGATTTGACTCCTGGTTTGACTTTAATTGGCATATATAAATGCTACTGATTTATATACATTGATTTTGTATCCTGAGACTTTGCTAAATTTATTTTATCAATTCCATGAGACTCTTGGTGGAATCTTTGCAGTTTTCTAGGTACAAGATCATCAGCAAAGAATGATAGTTTGACCTTCTCTTTTCTGATTTAGATAACCTTTATTTCTTTCTCTTGCCTGATTGCTCTGTAGGAATTCCAGTACTATGTTGAATAGAAGTGTGACAGTGGGTATCCTTGTCTTGTTCCGGTTCGTAGGGGGAATGCTTTCAACTTTTCCCAATTCAGTATGATGTTGGCTATGGGTTTGGCATATATGGCTTTTATCATTGTGAGATATGTTCCTCCTGTGTCTAGATTGTTGAGAGTTTTTATCATGAAAAGGTGCTGGATTTTGTTGACTGCTTTTATTGCATCTATTGAGATGATCATATGATCTTTGTTTTTGTTTATGTGGTGAACCACATTTGTTGATTTACATATGTTGAACCCTCCTTGCT